TGTGTGTACTCGAAATACTTATTTAGTAAGTATTTCAAACGTTTATGTCTATCCATTTTACTCTATTTATGTATATCTATAGAGTGCCGTCCTGACCACTTGAACATCCATAATATGAACAACAGCTACCACTTGAGTTCAAAGCTGCCCCGAACAGTCGTTGCACCCTCTCAACAAATTTTATGAATACTACTCGTACTTTCAATGTTATCGTATATTTTAGATAGGGGATTCATTCCCCGGGGATGCTGACAGTAGAATATTTGGTTGTATTTTGAGCATGCTAGCAATTAGTATTATACGTATAATTTAAACCGGTTTGCGTAAGTAGTTTTATAACTAAATATTACCATAAAACACAAATTTTATGGTATCGTGGTGTAGCTTATTATTTAAATAAAAAATTGCAACTCTACTTAAATTAAAAATAAGAGGAAGGACTTAATGGGACTGAGTTTTTAGGTAAACATTACCTCTGTTCCTTTAGCTATACAAAGCTGATAATTCTCTTGTGGTCCTATATAAATTTGATCTAGATCTGACCAGTAGTTTTTGTGTTAATAATGCGATTGAAATTATTTTGTTGTGACCAGACTACGGTATTATTATTTCACTTCCGGTCTAAACGCATACTTTCCAATCTGTAACAGAAAAATCTGATCAGAGTACAACGTATAGGTACATTGCGTGGGAGTTAGGAGTAGACTTGTTGCTCCCAATAGATACAATGATGTTGTAGCTTTGCTAAAAAATGAGAAAATCGCTTATTAACGCCATTGTGTAGATCACATCTTTGTGATCTGACTTAAACATCACAACAACACACAACTGCGACTAAAATATAAATGTACAAAGTGAAATAAGATTTCTTTTTATAAATTGCATACCTACCAATTTTGCTATACGGCTTAAAAGATAAGACTAAATAAATTAATATTGATTATAGCAATGTTGTTATGGTATGAAGTGATAACCTGACATATGGCTTGCCTAGAAAGTATAGATTTGACACAAGTTAGGTGTCGATAGTACAATATCACCGACGATTTCCCAAGTCTTCGGCTACTTTTTTGAGATGAAGGACAGCCTATATTTGTTTGGGATTCTTGGTCTTTCAGGTTAAATTTCATTAAATAGATTATAGCGGATATTTATAGTTCAAACAGAGATACTCTGTTTCGCATATATAATAATAGTATGAATTCAATAATTGTCTTATATTCAAACCATAGCAAAACATCCTCAGTGACCTAATTATGTACATGCAAATGACTTGTTTTATTAGCAATATAGCCATTGATGAGCTCGTATGGTACCTAACTCAGACTTGGCTAGCTAGTTACGTGTTGTCATTTAACCAGGCTGTTTAGGGTATAGGAATGATAGGCTAACGACAAAACGAGGCGCCGGAAGAGCACTGACCACTGCGCCACGATACCGCCAAATTTAGCTCACAACGGGACTACCAGAAAATTAATGTCAGTTTCCAACATAAATGTGTGTGTTATTGCAAATTGTACAGCCTTTATTGCAGTATTGTGGAGTTATAGATTTTTTATATCTTAACATTTTTACCTTCTATGATCAGTACTGAAATTTAATTGTTGAACTACCAAACTAATTTTGATAGTATGCTTGAGTTTAAGTTACAATTAATACTTAAGTTAAGATTTATAATGCATGTGTCTAATAAAACTACATATGAAATAAAAAAAAACACAACAAATAACAACAAGAAATTGATGTGGGTCATAAGTTTGTCTCACAATAACAGTCTACAAGGTAACTTAAATTTATTGAAAGTTTTGTTGAGTAACTAATCTAATCATACTGTGACTTCAATCCTGTTCCTAGAATAGTTAAATGATACAAATATTACCTTTCACTACTACACACTATTACACTATTACACACTACCTTTAATCCTCAAATTTAGCAACCAATCACCAATACTAGAAAAAGAAATTTTATATTCAGACCCATATCCAACAGAGTACGATAATAATAAAATAATAGCTCTGTCTATTTTTGATTTGATATCCTAGGCTTGCTAAAAATAACCTTTACGTATATAAACACAGATAGGAACATTTTTATTTCAGTTAGGGTCCTGCAACGTAAGTTTTTCCGTTAATATTGATGAAAACTTCCCCCAGTGCAATCGATATCCGACGCATCTATCGAATATAAAGATCGTCTTTTCACAGAACATCGGCATTTAATTACACGCCAATGTCCACAGATCCCTGTTTCCTCGGAAATTAATGTGCGTTGTGCGGTCGACATCCATGCCCCCCTAAGAATTAATAACCATTACTTAACTTTATTGGCTTTTTACATTGTTAACGTTAACAGTTCCTAGCACATAAAAATAGGGTATTATCTAAGCAACTGATTAACAAATAATTACTAATGTGCAGAATTAAATATCATAATCTAGTATATTTTTCATATTATTACTATTCAATCATAAATTAGAAATCACGAATTTCTAATAGACTACACATTTTGCTATTTGCTTTTGAGGTTGCAAATTATTATGACAGATATTGATTTCTTAAATTTTTTCAATCACAATATCAGTTTAAATAATAATCAGGACGCTTCAGCAAGAATATATTTGTTTAAAAAACGTACAAATTGCTATAAACACATATAATTTCAACATTCGCATATACTTCTACTAACAATTAGCTGTCTCTTAGCAAACATCTAATTCCAGGTTATATTATTATAGACGGTTTATGTGTATGTACCTATATAATAATGTCAAATTTAATTAAGGTCAGTTCAGATTTCCTGTAAAAAGATAAGAATATTTAGATAACATTTTTACATTTGTAATATTTTATTATGTATACATATTTACATCAACGTGTTTTTAATTCAACTTTGGACTAGTCCATTTCTAGGCTTAATTCTATAGGTCATTATTATATAGCGTATTGTGATATTTAACACTACCTTAACATGAATATATAAACTTTATCAACTTTAGAAGTGGAACGAAATAATGGATTGGTTGGATTACGACATTAACAATAAAATGTAATTTCCGTACATGCACGTTCTTCACGATTCTCCACAGTTCACAGAAAAATCATGCTATGCGGCTCATAAATCTATGATAACAGTTGGTAAAATAAAAGTATTTAGTATGGAGAGCGCAGTTGCCGAACGGATATCCGCAACGGTACAAGTAGCAGCGATGGCCGCGCTGGCGGACTTCGACACGCATCGTCTGTTGACACCGCCAGTCTCACTAATTAAACATTGTTGTCACTAGTCAGGAATTTGTGTAACTATCTACTATACTGTTATTACTAACTTTACTATGACATCCTAATATTTAGGCTTCACACACCGTTCTGTTAGAAACAAAAATTGTGGTTTTCTATTTTCCAGATGATAGTAATTATTCGATATCGTTGTAAAATTAAAAGTAATTAGACTTGATTTTAAATATATACTTATGGCATTCTCATGGTGGAATAGATTGTGATTTTCGATCTTATTTCCAATAACACTCTTGTTCTTTGTATATGATATGTCTATAATCTTTAACTTTTGCTGACGTTGCTGGTATACTTGTACCATATTAATTTTGCTCCAGTAGTAATCTTTTTTTTATTAAACAGTATTAATAGCCATATACTTGTTCTCAAAAATGCTCATCAAACTTTCTATTATTATACGTATTCTTAAATAAAGAAAATAATGTGTGTTCAATACTATTATAGATCACTACTACTTGTCTACTATTATAATAATTCTAAAATTTTATCACTTGACCCAAGTTATTGAATTTAGAACACCATGACCACCGGACGTTGGCTATTTACCGAACTAATCCCACGCTGTGTAGGTGTCAGTAATATGGAGACTGCATGTATCATACAAGATTTATCCTTAAGTATCTGAATACTTAAATAATTATACTGCCGACCGCTACCATTTAATAAAGCGGTTGATCTTGAGGATATAGTTCTGAATGGTCTTAAACTATAATAACAACATTGCCTTGTAATGACAAGTGGGTCCTATATTTAGCGGTGCGTGATAATTTGGGTTATTACACTCGAGCTGCGCATCTTCTGATGGTTACTTGGTGCTGTACCGTCTAACATCTGACGGTATCAATTATTTACAGTAATATTTTAACAGTTGTGCTATATAACTGTTTACGGAATATTGTATGCTTCGATATATCGAATTTCATTTTTATATTTATTTCAAATAATAATATATAGATTTATAGCTAATGGGTAGGATCAATTTAAAATTTCAATCAAGGCTCAATTGAAAAATATTTGTTTCCCGCCATTGTTTGTGCAAGCCCATGTTCATAACAGGAATGAATTTTCATTATATTAAGTATTCCGGTTATTTTAACAAATAAAATTATATCAGGAAGCAGTTCAGTAAATTCAGAAAGTATTTTCATTTGCCACCACTTTGCACTTGTGCCTTTATGAGGAGAAACAGTAACTACATATTACTTTATCTAAGTCATATATCATCATCATTATTACATAGTATAAAACAAAGTCGCTGTCGTTGTCTGTCCGTCCCTAGGTATGGTTAAATCTTTAAAACTACTCAACAGATTTTGAAGCAGTTTTTAATAGATATAGTGATTCAAGAGGAAGATTTATATATATACCTAATATATGTACAGCCGTGCGAAGACGGGGCGATTAGGTAGTAACATATAAGTTATTATATTTAAATTATATATAATATATATAATTTAATATAATCGTTTTTAAGCCCAGTAGTAGCAATGTTCACATCTACTAATAATAATTAGTTGCAATTATCCTAAGTATTGAAATATTTACCGTATTTATTCACATGCATATAGTAAAAAACGGTTATTTAAATATTACAAACAGAAACTCCAATTTTATTTATATATACAGTTTATACCTAGTAGAATTTTGAAAGAAAAATTAATGTTATTAATCATAACTGAGTTATTTTTCTGGTTAATTCCACAGTTGACTTTGTAATGGGGGCACCAGCATGGGCCTCGCGTGGTGCCAGCGACCGACCGCGACTCCTGCGCATGACCCCACTACGTCACAGCTTCGCAGCGCCTGCATCGCCGCCAGCACAGCCACCTCCGCGCACGCATGATTACGCTTCCGACGTAGACACTAATAAGAAAGGTAACTATGTGTGTACACTTTATTCTCATTTCCTGTTTATCTACTGCCTTATACAAACATTTGTTTCCAATATTCAATCATTATCACATATTTTGTAGCTAGTTTAGAAAGTTTTCTCACAGAATACTTTTCAAATTACAGAAGATAGCTGGAACGCAAATTTGTCACAAAGATGGCGTAAGCTACGACGTCGTTGTTCGCGACTACGGCCTGGTTCTGGAAACCGGGAAGCGAGTCCTGTTAGATGTTCACCATCGCCTCCCAGACCTCCGCCACATTGTTCCCCTGCGCCACCGTCCAAGTTGTCGTTTCGACATCGCGGCAAAGTGTACACCACTGCGTCACTGCGGGTCACCAGCGGAGCACCGGACTTACTACGTGCCCTTGGCAAGTTAGGGGGTGGTTTGCGTCGACGAGCTCTATCTGCTCACGATGTTCTAGCACCACCTCCACAACAACCAGCTACTTTCTATGTTCCTAGTCCTACTGGTACAATAAGACAACCATCTTCCCCCTCTCCACCGAGACAAAGTGCCACATTACGACGAAGGTGTAGCTCTCCGAACGTTTATAGAACTAAAGCTACAACTGCACCAAGAGATCGTGCTCCATTGATAGATCAAGATGACGAAAATCGAGACTTAGTCGATTACAACTATTTACCAGAAAGACGAAAAAATAATTCTGAAAGTAGAAGCCGTCGTCCCTATAGTGAAAACGTTGAACTGGACATGCCCCCATATAGAAATGGATATAATAGACTGCCTCCTGATACCCAGAATCTATGGGAAGAACCTTACCGGCTGCCTCGTGTTCAAGCACGGCAAGAACCTCTGCAGCAGCTGCGTAATTGTGTCGCTGAATTACGAGTGAGTGCGACCCCTAGAACACCCCGCCCGCCACCTGCTCCACCATCGTCACAACAAGCTAAACGACCACCTGCACCCGAGCCAAGGGATGTGCACACATTTGAGGTATCTATTTGTCATTTTTATTTTTTTCTACTATCTACCCTACCTACTAATTTACTACCTACCTGATTGAAAGTGAAAAACCAAAACAACATGCAAAATTGTAAAATATTTGTTATAGATCAAGTATATAACAAGAATTGGAAATCAAATATTAATTATAGGCAGATATACCTTGTCTTGAAGTTACTACTGTGTAATATTCTGTAACTGTGATATTCAATCCATATTTAATTATATATACAATTTATAACCGATACATAACTGAATTATGTTGTTAAAATGATACTAAGCACATAACCTATTCATTATATCTAATGAGCAAATTTTATTAATTATATAAAATTTGCTATATGTACCTATGTTATTAGCTGAATAAAATTGTTACACACGATGTCATGAATTCTATAAAAATTGAGATTTACATGTGCTAGTTTATTGTGTTACATAGAGGGACATGAACCTTACGATGAATAATCAATGAATGTATTAATGAAATGTAATGAATGAATAATTAGACAAATGATAATTAAGTACTACCTATGCATAAATACACACTTAGGTAATATACATATACACTAATACAATGCATACATAATATATCGTATCATTAATTTTCCAGTTTGCTATGATTATACAAATCCTTGTGCATATACCTCTCTCTTCTCTATTTCAGCGGGCAGTAGGTTGCTTTACATGTTGTTATTCAAACTCAAATTCAAAATTATTTATTATCATTATTCCTTTCGGCCTCTTGTGCACGTCATATTTTTTATTACTATCTCTACCATCCAATTCGGTTAGCTACTTCAGTTGAGAAGAACTGACAACAAATACCATTTAAGTAGTATATATATCTAACATACTTAAATTATAAAATTCCTTATCTGAACAACTAACGTCATATACGCCATAACGTCCTCTGCCAAAATTAATCTTTCACAATTTAATAGGCTAATTATTCAATAAGTGTTTCTTAATACTATTTTTTATTTATTTAAATATGTTTTAATATGATATTATACAATTTAATTTTCATTCCCATAAAAGACCTTATTAACTTTATATAAGTATCTATTGTAGTTGATGGTTATTACTTTATACCAGATGGTATAAAGTAACATCGTATTTTCTATTAAATTCACAATAAATATATATTATATAAAATCCATTAATTAAGATCAATATATAGGTATTATTATATAATTTATTAACGCTTATATTATATTTTGTGATTTCAGGTGCGCTTTACGAAGTCGGCGGGTGGCAAGGGTCTCGGGTTCAGTATAGTAGGTGGTCGAGATTCTCCTAGAGGCGATATGGGAATATTTGTCAAGACTATATTTAATAACGGACAAGCGGCAGAATCTGGATTATTACGAGAAGGTTGGCTCAATCAATTACTATAAGCAATACATAAAACCAATTTCGTGGGTTAGAAAAAGTAAGTGATGAATCATTTGGAAGAAAAAAGAATGACAATGGTTTAGGGTTTTTATATATTTATTTTAAATAATTTATTATTCAATTACATATTTGAATATTCAACCTAAATATGTTTAAAATATATACTCAAATTATGTCATGTTATTAACTTCGTAGTACAATCTCTGAAATTGTTTTAGTTTTTGATAATATTGCAATAAAAACGGTCAGTATGATAATATATTTTAAAATGTCTGTTGTTAATTAATTTATACAAGAAACTCTGTTTATATATCATGCTATTTGCTACAAGGTGCATGTTCCATAATAAAAGTAACGGAGATAACACCTGCCCGTTACATTTATAACGGCTATTGTGCACCTGTCTTTGCTTTCTAGAAAAATCGAATTATTTGTAATTGTAGACATTTGTGTCTTTCAATTTAAACTTGTTGTAAAAAAGTTGCCAGTAATAAATTTACTAAAGAACACTATTTACTCACGATAAATGTGAAGTATACTTTGCAGTGTTAACATTACATTGTTGAATATTAATTCAATTAAACTCAAACGGCTAAACAGTCTTGTACATATACTGATGAAAAATAGCGCTCATCTCTTATTATTTAGGCAATATTTACTGAGTAATAACGGAATGGGGTTCCTTGCTTTGTTAAGGTTATAATCTGGTGAGATACTAATGACATATGGGGATATAACATTAAATCAGTCAGCCCATCATGATGAAATCAACAATATTATTCACAGTGTCGTCTTAACATTCTACATTGCAATGGGAATATGCTTGTTACTAGTAATAACCCTGATCTATAATGGAATGAATTTGAGTTAGAATCTAATCATGTTCCAGGTGACGAAATAGTGTCAGTGAATGGACGTGGAACGGCAGGGCTGACACACGGTGAAGCGATTAGGCTATTCAAAGACGTTCGCGCTGGACCAGTGTTGCTTCGTGTTGCACGGCGTTCCCCAACACGCTGACTGCCCTGCGCCTGCTGCGGCGACTCTCAGCCGATGCAGGCGCCTACATATCGCACCCACGATATCTACTCTACCATGTAACGCTTTTTTCATATATTTTTTCTTGATCAAAACAAAAATACATTTGACATATATGCAGGCAGTGAACTAAATGCGTTATTTATTAGTAATATATTAGTAATAAACGTAGATGCTACCACTTTCATAGACACAGAAATCAATGGATACTTGTAGGTGTGAAAATCTGATTATTAGGAAGAAATAGCAAATCCAGAAGGCATGAATTTCTCTTAAATAATGTTTCTCATTTTATAGCTTGATGTGAAACAGTAGTTTCATCTGACCGAGATAAAAAATCGATCTCCGTAAGTTAAAGTTAAAAAGTTAAAAGATTTGTGCGCTTATATATATATTTGCTTCATTTATTATATGTTTAATATCATAGTTTTATTTCATCTAATATTGTAACAATTCGACTGTTTTTCTGTACATGTAATGTTTTTAGACATTATGTGAATAATTTGATATAAATAAGATATCTGATCGGACATAATATTTAAAAAGTTGTGTTCAGGTGCATTATAAAACATTACGTTTTTACAAGAAATATTTTTTTAATAATTTACAAGTACACAGAAAATAATTATAGTTTCCGATAAAATATATCTGTGATATTGTAATTGAAAGCTAAATATATATTAAAATTATTATGTAAGGAAGCTAATTTATTTTTATATAAATTAGATTTAGTTGCTGTAATAAATATTTATATGTATATATGCAATAGTGACTATATGTACATGTATGATATAATATCGTATGACAAATACGTATACTGTACCTAAAAGCATTTCATATTTTTGTAATGATTATAGTACAATTAAAATAATTAACCAAATATTGCTTATGAAGTCTATAAGTGTGATCAACGTGAAACGCAATTCTATAAGGTGTTAACTAGACTAGTAGATTTCTAATTATTCTAGTGTGGAAAAGAGACTTAGGTATGCGAGAAAGAGCATAACAGAAAATATACAAGTCCAATTTATAATTCAAACACTGACAAGTTTGTCAAATAGAATTATAATATGAATTCAAATCCATTATAACAATTTTCTTAAAATAAAGATTGTAGTAGGTAAATAACGCCGAATCTGCTATTAAAACTTCCGTTGTGTTTTTACGTAGTAGTATATATCCATATTAGACAGTGCTTTCTTCTGTACTTTTGCACTATTAGAAAATATAAAGTTTTGAGGTTTTCTGAAGAATCGCAGAAGTTCACCATCTCCAGAGACAGTCGTTGTATGGTCACATGCATTCTTAAACGGCCTAACCTTCTGTAATTTAACAGGCCATAAATACAAAACAATAGTCACGTGTTGTCACTAAAAAATTAAGCATTACTAACATTCATCTAACTAGCTTTATAAATTAGACAAGATATTAAGAATTTTGACTAAGACTATAAAAATATTTTGTATTTTGTACATTATCACAATATTAGTTGTAAAGTAAACTAAATTTTGTAAATCGTGTATTGTTGTATATTTTCGTCACATTAAGAAAAAAACCCTAAAATATTTAGATAATACTGCTATATGGCGCATACACAATTTACTCAGGTAAGTACGTGTGAAAAAAATAGACGATTATACTGTACGCTTGGAACACAGAGTTAAATGTGTATAGATGTATCTAGGTAGATAAGTATTAAGAAAACTGAGCTATATCTTCTGATGTATTTATTGTATTGTATGTTAGGCTCTATTTTACGTTATTTAGCCTCACATTTGGCCCGTTATGCGTGTCGGGGCTATTTCTAATTAACCCAGTCGTTTTCCTATTATACATGAATCCATAGATATAATGCAAGTTGCCTGGTGAAAAGAAGTGTGACAAAAGTAGCTGACTATACCTGTGATTTTATATAGACAATCTTTTATGTGTCCAATATCAGAAATTAGCTATTTCTGTCCTAGCCTATCCTAACCTAGTCCTAGCTATTTTAAATGCAGTATGGGTGACAAAAGAAACAATGATAAATAGCACAGTGATATATATTTTATCTCTGAGAATATAAAAAAGAGGAATAACATAAATAATTCGAAGATTATTCTCGATTCTTCCTTTACTAAATAATTTTACAATGAGAGAATTAGTAATAATACTAATAATAAAAACAAATTATTTACAATCTTAATGTTAGATCTTTAATAATTAATATTATTGGTAAGATTGGGGCAGTTAAGCAAGCAACTAAAAATATAAGACAAGAAACTATTTGTTTATATTAGGCATTAATATATTGTACAAAACTGAATGAAAATTTAAATAGACATTCACATCTTATCTTAGTGTTACAATAAGTATATAGTGAACTACATTATTTTAATCAAAATCATTAAGTACATATTATATTGTATTTTTAGTAGTAACGTAAATGAGTTAAATATGCATTCTAATATAGTAAGAGAATACTGCTTTTTTTACTTTGAATTTAAAATATACACGCAGTGTTCCAAAAATATTGCATTATATTAGTAGCTTTTCATAAAACATACTATTATAAACCCAATTATATGTCAGATAAATAAAATTAAGCAGCTGCTGTTTAGACAACATTATTGTAAAATATCTAAACTTTATAGCTTTTGATAAATTTAGAACAGATCCGTATAAGTAATATCATTGTTGGATGTAGAATATATCTAAACATAATATTATATAAATCACAGTAATTATTAATAAAATAATATTATAACCAGACTGACTTATGTGCTAACGTATTAAAACGCAGCCGCTTATTATGCTAATATAGTGGTTTCTATTACCATTCATTAATTGGATCAAATTACATTGCGCAAGAACGGTGCAATAACTCTTATGGCAATGAACTTGACTTCGTATAACGCTGTTCAATTGTGTTCTACAAAATATGTGCATTTTAAAGACTCATAAATTTCCAGTCTCTAGATGGCACTCAAAAATATATCGATACAAATAAATTTTGAAAATTACAATTTAAGTACAAAGCCTAATACAGGACTGTAAATATCGTCTCTACTGTCCGGACTAGTATTAATTTAATCAAATTTATAAATAATAATTTGAACAAATTGTAATGCAGTCTTGAAAACCTTAAGCGATAACTTTCTGTATAATAAATGAATAGATTATATTATTTACAATATATCTACTAGAGTATTGACTAAAGGTATAAGCAAATCGAAGGTATGTATATCTCATAGAAGCAGTGAAACGAGCTGAGTTTCGCTCGGCGCGCCACATTGAATTGAAAGATGTCAGTAATCAGCTTGTTACTGTATCCTGGGGCGAATATTCACAGATATATGACTCTTGTTAGTCTTGCTAACCGGATTCTGCGAGGAGTTCACGCATGGCCTAACAGCTAAACTAAGGCGTCTTGTGTGAGCGGATAACGACTGCTGGATTTATGTATATATTTACAAGTAGTAGGGAACTACTTGTGAATATATTTATTTGGAGCAACCTATATGTTCTTTGGGTTTCTAAGAACTAATGCAACGGTGCCAGATGGTAGCGCCTTGAGCGCAGCCCATGCTTGCGTGCGAGTGAATCCATGCATAGACTGTCCTCCGGCCGATAGGAGCTCGGCTCCCACTAGAACTCGACCACTTTGAGCGGCAGCTCCGCCTACAAATAAATAAATATGTTATTCGATAGATTTTTAACAACAATAATATTTACAAGCAAAACGATATATGTTCGAAACTTTAAATTAATCATTTGTCCTGAAGGAAATAATCAGATAATTGTTTCATTTTCTGCTACTCTAATCATCATACATTTTTGCATTATTGTATTCTTGAATTCTGCAGTTATTGTACCAAACATTCAACCAACTAATAAGTAAGTATTAATTAAATTAATTTATTTTATTGGTTGATTTTAGATATTTAATAAATAAAAATTAGATCAAAAACAGCAAGTACCCATACAAACTATATACCCATACATAATAAATATTTTGTCATTGTCTAAGACAAAATATTTATTACTTACTTACTCACTTTATACCCAGTAAGCGTTCGGATATATAACGAAATTGAATTTCTTGTTACTAACCTGCAAATAGTTTTTTTATTGTGAGTGGTCGATCTCCATGTGGCGAATCTCGTCCTCCGTCCAAGCCAAAACCAAGACCCGCCCCGCCGCCTGCCTTTTCCAATAGTACGGTCACCACAACTCCAGCTTTAGCGCCTGCCGTTTCTGTTTCAATAGCTTCATATCGAACTTTCGACTCTGCTGATATAAATATAAATCATTTTTAGTCTCTAAACATGTTATTGGAATACTAAGTTAATATAAAGTTTTGTGGAGTAGGATGGATAAAATGGTAATTATAAGTAAATTAATTACCATTTTATCCAACCCACAACTCCACAAAACTTTAATGTTATTTCTTAATATACATCAAGATATTATTATTTTAGCATAGATGGCATTATTTTAAATTTTTAGTATAATATTGAAACAAAACTCTATAAAATTCATAACACTGACCAACATTCCAACAACTATTCTAAATAAAGGGACTTTTTTTCTACAATCACATTTCTATATTTTTCACTAATTTTGCATAAAGATCGTAGTAAGAATCTTATAGTAATAATACACACAGACTTATTCGCAAATGGTAGTTAGGTATTTTTTTCTGAATATTGTACAAGTCCATAAATACATAAAATATACAGAATTTACGACACAGTACAAGAGCCTGCTTGTTGAAAGTCTGTTATCTACAATGAAAATGGTAAGATACTAATCTGCAACAAAGTATTGTTATAAGGGTACATTTTTTATTATATAGTACTTCATTAATCTTACATCCATTACGTGACCGTGTACCTGCTAAACAAAAATTGATATTCGGCTTATTTATACCTATCACAAATAACTCTGTAAAGCGAATTTGTAGTCCAGTGGTCTATACGTTAACGCAACCGTTAATGCAAAATTCGTTATTATTCTAACAGCGAGTTAAATGTTCCACCTAATCAAACTCTTCTTTGATCCCAAAGCACAAAGATGTAGTATATAGTCTTACCCACTATTTCCGATTTACACTCAATTCTAGTTATCAACGTGGATTACAGCTGGACACTACTATGACACGGAGACACGATCTCATATAGTATCACACGACACGATCTCATATAGGCATAGTAGTGTCCCGCATATACATAGACTTCAGATTTATAACAATGTTCTGACATCAGAAATTAAAAACTAATTAATTGTGTCACATTATGGGGTTGATATCATTGAATAAGTTCGATTTAAAACTTACAACAATCATAACGGTTGACAAAAAGCTCCATGCAACAAAATTTTTTATGGCTACTCACCACTTTCAGAGCCGCATCTTGCTTCTCCTACATTATTTTTTCTGGACTCATCCTCGAATTCGATTGTAACTTCTGATCGTTGTTCCTGAAGATAAAACATAAAGACAACTGTTATTAATTCTACATTTTGTAGATATGCCAATTTAATAATTGCACATCGAGTTTCATAAAAATATCTTACTTGAATCTTAACAAACATTGTATGAAATTAACACTTATGTACTATTTAATATCTAAGTTATCACTTACTACTTTAATTTAGAATTAATACAGATACCAAGGAATATACGAACAAAAGAAAAAAAACATGGAGGTGAAAATTTTTAAAGAAAATCATTAAATATTTTTTATAATTATTTATTAATTTTTGCTACGCGTGAATTGCATTGTGAACTCACATTCCAGCAATGGTATTCCCAAACCCATATCTACGTTATTGATATCGTAAAGAAAAAAGTTTATTCCTTCGAGCCATTCTTAAGGCCGGCAACGCATTTACAATTCCCCTGGTGTTCCCCTGGTGTTCATGGGCGGCGGTAATCACTTACCTTTAGGTGAGACACAAGCACGTTTGTCCCCTTTATGCCAAAAAAAACATATTTTGCACTAAGAGATAAAATTATATACTAGTATTTCTTAGTAATTTGCTTAGTTACTATTTCAATTAATGAAGTACCTTGAGTATAGTAACAGACTGTGCATGTGTCAATCCAGCCATTACATAGCCGTTAATACTTCGAACTTTTATGCCTCTTTTAAGCCCCGCTTTATCCGCCACGCTATCTGCCAACACTCGATGGATCTGAAATGATATTTCCACATTTTATTTTACCATAAAAATTTATATCTTTAACTGTGAATGATAGCCGCTGGTGATTGTACGTACATATACTATTTGCGTTACTAATCTCAACCGTGACTACCATGTTAACAGATATTGATTATAGTATAAAAAAATAAAATTAATAACATATCCCATCATTTTCTTTCCTATGACAATAGCAATAAATAAAACTGCATAAAAATCTTACGTACCGTAACATCCTTAGCTTCACAATCAATACCACCAGCTAAAATGAGTCCTACACCCGAAGCAGCTCCACGTTTCAAATTAACAGTAGAAGTAGAAATTTTGATATGTTTATTTGAACTATCATCTAATTTCTGTTTGTAACCGACAAGAAACAACATTATCTAAGGAATTTTAATTAATAATTTAGCGAAAAAAATAAAAATCAATTTCTTTTGTGGACGTATATGGTGCTTCATTAACTTTGGTTTGTATAACTATTTGTTTAGTAGATTTTTCTGGACTTGCTACATTTTTTGTATGTGCATATTTAATATTTTTTCCTTCTGGGTTTACTACGCAGTCATTATTTTTTAAATTTATTGTATTATTAACAATTTGTGTGTTTTCTTTATTTTTTAAATGATCAAGGCCAACTTTTTTTATTTCCTTTATTATTTTCTCAGATATATTCTTAGGTACATCATCAACTTTTGCGCTTTCTAAAGCAGTCTCTGTTTGCTTGATCTTATTTGAATAACTTGAGTTCCGTTTTAGTCTCGTGTTTTTGTAATCAACCTTTCTTTGCCGAATGTTAACATCACTATCACTATCTGAATCAGTTTCCACATTTTATTTTACCATAAAAATTTATATCTTTAACTGTGAATGATAGCCGCTGGTGATATACATATACTATTTGGTGTTACTAATCTCAACCGTGATAAAGCTTTGGTTAACATACCTACCATTAACCACCTTATTTAAAATATTAGGCAATGAAGCACCAGGTGACATGTTGATATAGACTTTCTGATAATGAACGGCCCAGACCCTTACTTTCTCTTCTCAGTCAAAACCGTCAATTTCCATTAGGGCTATACTGACAAGATTTAGAGATTCAGGTGTCTCACAACAACATGTCAATGCAATTTTTTTGTTTCGACGTCTGCTTTCGCCTTTATTAGATACAGCACTCACCGATGACGTGAGTGTAGAAAGACGATCAGTTGCTTTGTAAACAGGACTCGGGGAGCTGTCAACTGATTCATGTGAAAATTTTGTTTCAATAACAGGAGACGTAAGTTTGTCGTCTCTACCACTTCTACATTTTGCCGATGCTAAAATATTTCTTCTATTTATCGTATCAATATTATATGTTTTTGAAACTTTTCGTTTTTCTGAATCAGCAACAGAACTTTCGAGAGAACTGCAACTTGCTTGTGAACCAGACGTAGCTGCCGAACCTGCCGAAGAACTGAGAGAAACGTTCGTGTCAGACGACACTGAACGACAAACGTTACGTTTGATATATTCCTCACAGCTTTTTTCTATTACAGCAGACTTTGTTGGAATTTCAGACTTCACAAGTGAATAATGTGTGTAGTGTGATATTCTTGGTGAAAGACGTGAACTATCTGACTCAACAGGCTCTAAGTTATTCATAGGAGAGGATGCTGATGACCTATAACTTGACTGAGTGGAACTCATAGCAGAATCATTATCACTGTCTACAATATCAGTAGCAGTTGCTATTTTAATGTCTATGTCCTTGAAATCTTGAGTAGGGTTAAAAATATCTTTGTATTCTTTCTTTGAAACTTGACATTTTATGGAAAACTGAGAAGTTAAAGAAAGTGTTGTTCGTACTGAATCATTATTTAAATCTGTATATGGTTTTTGGGGCTTTGATACTAGTGACATATTATTTTTATTTGATGTATCCATTTTCCCATATAATTTACGTTCTGGGGTAGATTCTTTTGATAAGGAAATAGGACTATATACTTGTAAAGACTTCCTTTTGAACGCAGGAGAATACTTCGGTATATTGTTAGATGAAAGAGCAGCTTTCCATTTGGTGTCATTTAGATCCATAGGTTTTACATTATTCATTTTATTATCTCTATGATTTATAGTATTCTGATTACATGTAGCATTGGAATATGTTTTAAGGGGATCTTGTACCTTTATCGCTGGTAAATCAACTATTGGAGATTGGGCTTCAGATATTACTAAGCCTCTTAATTTTGACATAGATTTTTTTCTTTGTTCTATTAAATACTCTAAGTTTGACTTATGAATATTCTTGTTACTATTGTCATCACTTATACTACGAGCATGATAAATAGGTGGCGTAAATGAGGAATCGCCATTTGCGGGTAAGGTTGTAGTACTGCCATAAAAAATGGGCTTGTTGTCAGTTTGAAGGATTCTATTATTTTTGGTCGTGATTGAATTAACAGCTGGTGCAGTTTCCAAAGCTCCTAATACTTCACGTCTATCTGTGGATAGTTTAAAGGTGCGTGGTAATTCATCCAAATTATCTTGAGATCTAGTTAAACGCCTGTCTAATGAAGATACGTCTGAGTAATTGTTTACGTAAGCAGTACTTTTCCTCGTGGTTGAATGTCGAGTTGGAAGTGTACCACATTTGTCCAGATGATCCGTAGATGTTGTGCGGTCATTTGAAAACATAGCAATTTTATCTTTAACACTGGCTTCACTCCTGGCATCTTGAGTTCTCGATGAATATGAAAATCGAGTTCGAGTCGTTGAAGGCCAACCAATTCGTGGTTGCACTCGAGTTTGTGGTTCAGGCATCTTCTCCATAACATCAGAAGGTGTTTCTACTCCATCAGGCGGTTGTCGAGGACAAGACGGAAGAGGTGTTTCATCGTTTGAGAGACTCTTGTCTTCAGTATCGCTTTTAATGACACGATCTATAAAGAAACAAAAACATATTTGAAATATAGTATATATTTACATATACACTTAATATGACACTGTTGGTTAATTATTATATTATAATTACATCGATAAATACTATATAAATAATTACGAAATTGTCAGCTATCAAAAGTGGCTCATATTACGCATATGACACGTAATCCCATGACTAAATGACCACATCCTTGGTCTTAGATAACAAATATAGATGACGGCGGCTCTATGAATCATACAAGCATACGGTAAGAAAACCGAGGATATTTTTCAAACACTATCAAACCATTTTAAGGTAATATTATATTATGACACCTTATGCAAAGAGAGTATGGAATTATTAATAGTTATTTGCCGTTAAATTAGATTATTCCTTATTATATTAGGTAGTCAGAATATTAGATTACACGTAGTGAATAATAATAGTTCTATTAATGTTATAGAATTTCTATGGTTTCAAATAATTTCAGAAGGGAACATTACACTCGTTAAGTACATATTTACATATAAGTAAATTGTGGATAAAATATTTTTGAAAAGAATGCTTTTGAACAAAACCAACGCAAGTTACCTAACTTGGCACTAGGTACCTCCCTTGTCCTAAAAATTTAGGGCATCATTACGTAAGGAAAATAGTTCTTAATTCTCAGAATTTCTTATAGTTTTAACTACTTAATAATATCATGTACCCTTTTTTCATGACATATTGCCATTTCATAACCAAATAGCAAGAATAAGATCCTTATTATTTTTTACACATCTTTATGTTAGTTCAACTATCCGATAAGAAATATAAAGGAAACTGTAAAAAAAATATGTCTTTTAATGTCACCTACGGCAATAGCGTTCCGTTATTAATAAATAGAAAGTAGTGACTACATGACTAGTAATGGTATATTATCAGACGAACATCCACGCGGTCCACTCTGAAAACTATCAATATTAATTCCCGATAAATTCGATACGATGGACGAACTGACCCGACAAACAATCTCATTCTATCATCCTTTACTGATGCTCTACCAGTATGCACCGTTATCGTAACTGGACGCACTATGCCATTTTCATTCGTAAAAAAATTATTTGTGTATGTATTTAAATGAGATTAAAAACGTATTATTTCTAAAGGACTGGAAGATCTGTATAAAAAGTAGTTCCCTAAATGTTACTATTCTCAATACCAGATAGTTTCCATATTGATAACGATGTTCAAACTTTCATTAAAAATTCATTCATGAAATAAATAAGCTATAAAGAATTATTTTTTACTTGATTACGATATATAGGTAATAATCCTTTATTATAGATATTATTTTATTCAGTTATAAATAAATGTGATATTATAATCTGCAACCGCCACATGACATGTCCATGATTCGTGGTTTAGTCTCAATGACAGATACTAATAACAGATAATGTCATGGATTTAAACAATGATAGGCTTCTTAATATTTATATTCACCATATTCTTTACCTTCCCTTTCCTCTTCTATAGGATGTAAACATCTCGAATGCCATATTTTAACAACACTATATGATTTCATATCACACACTATCACTTTCTGCACATACATCAGTGATATTTCCGAACAAAATCGATGTATAATATTAAATTATTTTATGTGTAATGGAAGGGGTTCGCAGAGCAACTGTTGTTTTATTAACAAAATAATAGTTTTAAATATGCATATGTACTTATTATAATGTAGGTAGGTATCGACATTTGTAAACGTCAATTATGTGTATTGTATTTAGACAAGGCACGCTTCAAACTGTTTTATTTGAACAAGTGTAACTGAAATTCAGTCTTTAAGATTGTCGAAGTACATAATTGCTTTGCAAAGGCCATTTCGTCACTAAATTGGAACAAAGACATTGAATCGATTTACTCAGTTGCGTAGACTGTGATGCCTGTAGAAAATACCTACAGATAAGTACTTACACTAGTATGCTTGTGTAATATAAATACTTACACATACTCGTACGTAGCCCATATACCTACTTGTACACATTGAGCATTTCATAAGTAACAAAAATTTCAATCGACGAAAGAAAATAAAGGAAGTGAATCAATTTAATCGTTTCCTTATTCGATATTTTATTATACTGCAGTTAAGCACTAGTACTAAAAACGAATGAGTCCTAGAGGCAAAGTAGAAAATATAATTTCACACATCAAATATTCCTTTATTTTTGCCATTTTGATGGCAATGCTCTTGCATTTCAGTAATCGTCTATTTTAAAAGCAATTTTACTATCCATTAGAATAGATACAAAAGATACATTTTAAATAATACTATTAAATAGTACAATTTAAAATTACCGAATTTAATAAACACTATTAATTTCATAGAAATCATCTTTAAGGCAATGTTTTAAACGTATTAATTTGGCATACACATATTAATAAGTATTTACGTAATTAGGTACACAAATACAGCAATATAATAATTGATATTCATTTTTCACGTAGAATAAATCGAAATTATCACAATCTGATAAGTTGTCAACTACGTGTGTATAATATTATATTCAGACGTATAGGCCTATAAAAGTGTAAAAATATGTTGTTATATTTCACGTCAACTAGCTACACAATATAGATGACGTGAGTACATTTTTATGTGTGCATATAGGTACATAAATTTATAATCACATCAGAACAATGTAAAATTCACTTAATTATTTAAAGTGTTATGGAACAAGATATACACTACATAAGGTTTCGATGCAATTGATATAACATTTGCAATTTAAACTTCTAGATATATAAAATACAAGGTACTTATGTTAATGAAAAATGCATTATGTATGTTACGTGAATATTGTGATTAGATTACCGTGTTGTTGTATTGTTAATGCACTACCAGTATATTAACAACGCATTATATCTATACCATACTGTTTCCAAAATATTGGTTTACTAACCCGTACAATATTTATGTGGGTATACCAATATAAAATATAATATATCAAATTACAAAATTAATTATCACAATGATTGGTATTGCCTAACAATTGCAGTTACAATTTAAAAAAATATTATTATAATTCGAAATCCAAATAATTCCATTAAAAAATTACTGTATTTCAATTGTTTTATTGATGAGATCAATACAAATACTAATTATATTTTTTTTGTATGTATAAAAATATCAACTGATTTTGTGTAGACCCGACAACCGTTGCAAACAGGTTTTCAGATGGAGGCCACATACCTACCTACCGACTGGGAAACGATATGAAGGCGGGTGGATTTCTGCTCTATGGAAGCGAATATTCACTATTTAAAATATTAACAAGTAGAAGTTTTCTGGATTTTGAACCCGGAATATAGCACTTTTGTCACATCTCCCTATAGACGCGCCTTGAACTACCGCATAATACATACATTTGTATTCTTGGAATAAGTTTGTACTAATTTTGATATTAATTTCTATGTGTATGCAAAAAAAATGTTGTTTAGTACTTATGCTATGTTTGGGACCAAATAGCGCTTTATGAGTTCTCGGTTTTTTGTTTTTTTTAAGTACAAAGTTAAGTTAGTACATTTTTAAGTACACTGTGTTATAAATATGTATTTACAAATAAACAAATCTTTTGTTTACTACCCACAGTACAAGCTCTACTTGTCGTTGGGCAATTTTAATACGTCCATGGATATTTATCTATTAATTCTGCCATCAATTGGCTTGATTGTATATTCCTTTCAACTTAAAAAAAGCAATATGCCAATGAAATTATATCAAATAATTTATGACTCGAACTGTCTCAAGAGAAGACAAATAGTGAATGATACAAGAGTTCATGACTTGCAATGGTATTTCACCCTCAAATGGACCATATGCGTAAAATAGAAATAGAAATAATCCTAGAAATATAAGTTCTTGATAGTACGAAAAAGTAGTGAAGAAAATTAAGTATTTTATTAGTTTCCTTCACTAATAAATATTGACGAAAATATCGGCCACTTATAAGTACATTAATTTATATAAATAACGCAACGCAATAAAATATTATTTAGAAGAAATATATTAATTAGATTATTTCTCAGTCACCTTATCAAAATAAGATGTACCTAAGTGGTGTCACATCCTAATATTAATATTTAATGAACATGTTATAATGAACATAAGGATGTTTTGCCAAATGTAGGTAAACTTTAGTACAAACCATGATGAGACACCAATCGTCGGGGCATTTTTCTTATTTCCAACATTTTGAAGGATATTATACAGCATTCGAAAAATTCATAACTAGTTATTATCACAGCACTTTAATTCAAAAACCAACCGCGGCACACGAAAAAAAAATGTACCTCGGGAGAACAAAAGATTTCACTGAGCTAATTCGACGACAAACAATATCGCGGATCTCCCGATCGGAAGAAAGAGGATCGCGTTGAGAATGCGGAACGTGTCCATTAACGACTGAAATAACAGTTATTTAACATAGGGCGGTGCGTCCGGCGTGCGCCTACGGCGTCGTGCGAGCGGTAAGCGGCGAGCGGCGACGCGGAGCCGCCGCGGCGGGGCGCGATGCACTGAGTCGCCGTGGACTTGCAGAAATTTGCAGCGTCGCCGCCCTTGACGGGGGCGTTGCTCCGAGCCAGGGACGGACACTGAGCTGCGCACGCGACGCTCCCCCGCAACCCACCGCACAGCACCCTGGCCCACTCGCCCTCCTCCACGTCACACCATCGAAAAGCCTCCGCGAAATACGATCCGAACTCTCCACATAAACCTAGGGTACCTTATGATTTTCTACTTTATGCAGAGTACCCTAGCTCCGGAACCAATAACCACAAGCGGCCATTACTACAAAAAACGTTACGATAACTTTGATCACTAAAAATTTCGATCAGTAAATCTAAGTTATTTTTAGCGAGGAGGCGTTCGTCAGAGGGCGGCGACCGTGAACGTTTGCGGAGAGTAAACGACGCTCGCGCACACCACAGATGTCAGGGTCGCTGCGCCCCTTGGTTGCATATCGCGCTTTACTTCCGTCGTAAAAAGTACTTTTACTGCTTAAAAACCAATAACGTGATGGACGTATGTTATTATTTTTCCATATATTTTGTTTGATTGTTGCTATGAGTAGTTAAATGGTATGGAGGAATGCGCCATGTTGGAGCAATGTGACGTCGTCGCGGCCACGGGAAGCTGGAATGCTGTCTGTGCCCTCCGCCGCCCCTCGCAATCCGGACGCGGCCTTTTAAACCGCTCCAACGTGTTTGCAAAGTTGTTTGCACATTTTTTTACATTCCCGTACTTTTATTGCGGCGTCATAATTATAGGTAGAGAGCTGTACCAACTACAAATTATGTACATTCCATAGTCTTATAAAATTTTTACAACTATGAAACTGGAATGCAATGCCTACGTACCTAGATGTGTATTATTATGACGTTCATTATCATCATTTTAGTCATTCATTGTTTACTGCTGAATGTACTCCATTAAATTACTTTATATCTCGTTTCAGCGGTTAATCACCTACTAGATCCAAATTTAGATAGATGATTGATTACTTGTTCAATTATGTATTTTATTTCATGCCTTCTGTATAGTTAAGTTTTAACTAATACTTCTCGATTTATATACCTACTATATATATTGGTTGATTTTTGAGCTGTATACTCTGTGAATCTAATCTAAGCGTATATTACTTTTTTTCTTTCCTTCATCATCAGTCACAAGGATTTCTAAAAAACGATCAGACAGGTACATCCTTGATTCCTTTTATAATTGGATTCCAATAGCGAAACTTTAAAATAGATAAGTGAAAGAAAGTGCAATCGATTTCACTTTCAAAACTAAATTAACTTTCTCCAGTGACACGTCTTACGTAATTTGTACAAGACAAGACAGTCATAACCGCAACATTTGTACCTCCTAAAGGTCGTCGGGCAACTTTTAATAATATTCAAAGCATTTCAATGTTTGCTATTACATAATGAACCACTTGCCAATTTCGAGCACAATAGGCTTCCCACTATTTGGGTGCAGTACGTACTACTATAAGAATGAAATATAGAAACTAAATTTTAATTAATGATATCTAATTCATTCATTAAAAAGCGATTTCTTAGAGAGTGTGAACAAGGTACATCAACAAAAGCGTGTTTTAAATTCAGTGAACGTCCGCAGCATGCCGGAATGGTATTAATAAACAGTATTTTTGATATCTCATATCTAAAGTGAGTGCTGAGATAAATGAAAGAACTGGAATATTAGGTAGCTACAACAATTCCTTTCATTCAACGGTTCCATTAAGGACAACCTTATATCTTCCTCCTTTAAACATATAATACTCGTCCTGTTTAATATATTTTTTGTAGTGTCCTCAAAGGAAATTCCAAGACGTCCAACTTAAATGGCAACCGGATAAGTTAAAGCCCATCAAAGTGTTTTTAATTTCAAATAGCAACATAATTTCAAGGTTTTTCTTTGATGCGAAATTACATTTAATTTGAAACATAAATGATTTTACCTGTTCACTAAAACCAAATATAAAGTAGTATACTTACTATGTATACAATTTTATAATAAAATTCTGTAATAATGAATATACAATTAACTGAAAAGCTAGACTTTACAAACAAATATTATTTACTATAAAAATATCTGCACTTTGTAATAGTTATGCATTTAGTAATATTTCAGTTACTGTAATTCTAACCATAGGATCTGACCCCGGCTGTACATGGATGCAATTACGAGTAGGTATCCTTATATTTTATTTTACATAAAACACAACCTATGTAAATGTTGTTACATCTAATAATGAAGTTTATTAGATGAATGTATAGAAAAAGTAATAAAGTACTTTTACTTTTTTTTTGCAAACAAATAATCCAATATTTCCTCTTAATAATATTAGTTAAGACAGTAAATCTTGTAGGAGTATGCCTGTTATTGCAGTAAATTGAGAGATAAAGTACCAACATCTGCATAAAAATGCTCTAGACACATTAATTGTTTAGAGGCATTAGTTGTTCAAATACGTGAATGTATAAATATTCAGCAATTGCGTTGATTCATAAAACGAGTGTTTTGAATTGTTCGTTGTGGTGGAATCGTATGCAAAATGGTGGGTGAACAATGAAAGCCGATGGGCAGGTCGTGGTCGCCGAGACTTAATGACCGCGCGCCGGGATGCCTGCCTTACTTTCCTCGAGGGAATTCGTATTAATACTTATTTTATTATTGCAATAATTTATTTCAAGCCATGGGAAATTCCACTCTCTAAATTCAATATAGTGTGTAAACTTAAGTATGATATAGTGATTTGATGATTCCAGATGCAAAAATTTATATAGACTTGTTTTATAAGCGCACAATATACTTTTATACTGAATTATTTTTATCTCAACTTTATTCAGACGTAGATTAAGAACATTTGATCTAATACTACTCTACAAACAACTAATAATACTATGGATACTTTAGTTTATTAATACCAAGATAACTCTACTTAATGTAACACCATTTGGGACACTGCCAACATTTTTAACATAAAAGTTTAATAGCTCATGTGAGAGGCTTCGCAACATAAAAAGCGTTGGTATTTCAGCAATGCAGTTCAAGCCATGCACCGAAACTGCATTACACCATGTGCAAAGTATGAGCAGGTGCAAATAAACGGGGCAGCGGCCGCGCAAGTGGCACTTTCTTCACTCAAACACTCAAGAGTTTCAACATTATCAAGAAATGCATATATAATATGAAAATAACTGGATACCGATAAATATACAATTTCTCTGTGGGTTCAATAGCATTGCGACTATTAAGAAATTTACATAAACATAATCTCGCAACGATTATGTTTTACTAATGGCATTCGCGAAACGAGTTTTAAGAGGCGTGGCAGGAGTAGTGTTAGTTAGTTTGTCTCGAAATATACAAATTTTATACATGATTGCTAAACTTTTATATATTACTTGGACAATGAGTTAGAAAAGAAAGCAACTTATCTCATGTAGTTTTTTGGATCTCTTTTTTATTTTCTGTTTTAGAAGGCTTGTATATTTATTTGTCTATAAGTACATCTCTATTATGTAACGTAGTATATGCTATGTGTAACCGGACGAAACCAGATAATACATTTATTAATAAATTGAATTTAGTTACTTATTAATGCCATATTTTTAAAAATTTGATAATTTTTAAGTGAGTAGTAAAAAACGAAAGTTTTATTTATGATTTTGTTAACACTCACCATAGAAAAGTATTTTATATAAAGATTTGTTCGCATAAAAATTACAGAAGCATGAACAACAATATATGGAATGTATCAAGAAAAGTTTACAGGAATCGAAAGGAGGTATTATTCAAATCCAGTATGTACTAATGTGATGGCGAGTAGGAATAGATTTACTGTTTATATAAAATATTGAATACCTTAATAACTAAGGTTATTAACTTAACATAACTTTAACTTGATTATAAACAGTAATAGTTACTTAATTTAATTCATGGTTTTGTCATCATCCGCTAAAGTACAAAGTAAGGCTCAAAACAACTAAATTGAGATATAATATCCTGATTAACATAAATAACTTGTAAAATTAACGTAAATAATTAATATTAACAGTATGAAACACAAGTTTAAAATACTTGTAATATAATAACAAGTCTAAGTAAAAATATTGATATGGCTATATTTTAGCTTGTGAAATAATTATATATATATATATTACAAAAACTTTTCCTTCCCGTCTAATTTATTTTTGCGACATAAAATGGCCAAAGTCCTTCTACAAAAATTTTATGTCACACCATAAACTCATTAAGATTATCTTAATACTTTAGATTCTAAAACGAACCAATATAGCAGACAGTTAGCACAGTTGCAATATTATAATATGTACTATATTTAATTTAATAAATTTTAATATTTCACATGAACCGCCAGGTCTCGTGATCGATTTAGTACGAAAAGTTCGAAATTTATTTTCACTTTCACATTCCTTCTTGGTGAAAGTGGTGCAGTTTCATGAACACTTGACCTGTTTTTCAACTTAAATATATCCCGCACATTCCTGTGCAATATATAAATGGTAAATCTGTGATTTTCGACATCACATTTAATACGAAATTAAAATTAAATATAAATTTTGATTATAAAATACTTTTTCTGTTACACATATATAATATCTATCCAGTTATTAGTACGCTTAGTACAGTTAGTAGTACTTAGTATAGTTACGATTACGTACGTTTCCCCTTAAAAGTACGTTTACCTGTTCTTAAAAGACCTGTTGGTTCCTACTAGATTTTCAGTAAAAATGTGTAACAACATAATTGTAATATTGCAATAAGAAAAGTAATAGTACAGACAACAAAATCGAATAAATATCGTGCGCTAATAAAAAATTAAATGGCAGTGCTTTTACTATATATGTAGAGCTCTATAATTTATATCCCTCATGCGCTCGCACGACGCATGTTACACGTGCTCGTTTATACATTTATATCACAAATGATCGATATTCTAAAACACTCATTACAACATTATAATTAATAAGTTAAACTAAGCCACATCGCGTGGTAAGAGATACCAATCATACGAGGATCCTCGTATATGAGATTCTGAACTACGAATATCAATCAAGCCAGAAAGAAGAAGAACTAATATAAGTGTTTTCTTTAGAGTTTTTATTTCTTCATCCAAAAGCAAATATTAGATTTAAGCGATAATTAAAAAGTAACCTTCTTGTTTTTATTATTAGTAGGATTTACATGATTACTTACCCTCCCAAAAGTTTCTTTCGTATGGTGATTTTCGATCTTTCGTTTCGTTTTCAATTACGTTTGGTTTCCTGTAACATAAAGAAAATAATGATATTTTTATCTCCTTGTAATAAAATAATTTCATGTAAAAAAGTATTCAAACCTATCTAATAGATAAATGATGATAAGAACTAAAAGTTAAAACAAAATCAATCAACACAGAGTAAACCAAAGACAGACAAATTGATATATTATTATTTATGCAGGGTAATTAATTGTATTATGGGAATGTATATATACACCGTTATATATTAGCGTTCTTGTTAACTTGAAAATACATAGTTAACCTATGAAAGTGAAATTATTGAATATTGAGAAGTTTTCCTGCTATTGAATAATACAATGTACTCAGCAGTAGTAAAAATGGTCTAGGAAAATAAAATACTGTTATAAATGTCATCCACTGTCGAATCATTAAAAACCGCAGTCCTCAGACCAAGCTGAGAAAACTGTAGAGATACTTAGGAGTGTTGCATTCAATACTACAGCACATTGTGACGATGACCTTAATTTGTATGTGAGCTGAGAGAAGCGAAATTTAATACTAACGGTCAAAGATTAAAAATTCGCCTAACAAAATATTTTTTGTTTATAATAGTTATAAACAAAAAATATTTTGTTATTTTGCTAGAGATATTGAAAACCCCTGAACCATCAAAAACATAAAATTCATATTTTTAGTCAGCGACACTTCTTTAATAACTAAGAATGAAAATAAATCCGGTCTTCCATTAGGTATACTCTTTAAACCTTGAGACGACACGACTCCATTTGCTTGATATAGCTGGTCTTTGGTCTTAGACCAAGGCCCAGCGGAATATTTACAAATTTTAGTCCATGTCTGTATTAGTAAAATAATATTGATTTACAAGACATCCTTGGACATCTGACAAGGCTCTAATATTGCAGAAGTGATACATAATTTAATACTGCTGGGTAATTTGATGCAAACAAATGGCTACGACACTAAAATCTATAATATGTGCTATATTACAGTATATTTACCTATATCACAGACACGGTTGACTTGTCTATCTACTGTTTCTAAATTCAATTATGTGTATACCTGACACATTGTTTATATTAATAATAAATATATCAAAATCATAGCAATAATGCACTATATATAAATAGCCCGTTTTAATTGTATATGACAAGTATAAATAAATAAAATGAAACAAAATTAAGAATTTATAATTTTCTATTATGTTCATAGGTATTAGATAGGTATTAGCATAATAAATGTTAATATATAAATTATTATAAGTGAGTACATATAATTTGTGACTGTGTTCTCTGTTCCTAAAGCACGTTCCATTCAGTTAAGATTTTAAAAATTTCCTTTTTCTTACAAGAAATCAAAAACTCATTTTTACCATGACAATTTTAGTGACTTTCTTTCAAGTAAAAAAAATACCTAACAACAATCCTAAGTTAAAAGAGGTTTATAAGCCCTTTCTATTTTGTTACAAAAAAGTGTTTAGTTATGTTGTCATTTAAAATTGACCTATAATGTTTTTCTTTAAATTGTTCACTATGTTATTATTTCATGATTTTTTGGAAGAGGTAGTACAAAACAGAGCTACACGAAATTATCGTGTATATTTTTTTTTCATACGTTTACGTATACTCATTGATTATGTTTATTTTTAATATAATCTGTTAATATATTTCGTGTTAAACGTATGCCTTACATTTCTCGCATAAATATCGTTATTAAAATGTCAGGGTTCCGCCGCTACCTGACGGTCAAGACCAGCTTAGAATTTCTAACAATTCCAGGCTCCAAACTGAATGCCCGGCTTTCCCAACTACTGACGCAATGTCAAATTATTATTAGTCATAACGTAAAGCAAACAGATAGTATAGGAACTTCGTTATTAAATTTTTATGTGGTGAAAGAATGACAGACATCGTATTTAGAAAAATAGAAAATATAGTTTTATATTATTTCCTTTGTTATGTTAAAATTTCGTTGTGGGCCTAGTACCAAATATATATTTTAGTTTTATAAATGTTAATCCCATATTATTAATTTGCACTGCGGATTCAACCCCTATATATAGTAGTTCTAGACTAAACAATTAATTCGTCATATATGTTGACAAATGATTGACAGTATTATGTATTAGTAGGTTACTTAACAACATACTTAAAAATATAAAATATGAGTAATAACAATTCGAAGCCCGAATTTAGCGCTTTAAACCAAACAATTAACATTTTACATTATTTTTATTGTATTGTATTAATTCTGCGACTCTGTCTTATGTATCGAGCTGTACTCTATATTAGTATTTTAAATAATTATGTGTAAAATATTACTTGAAGCATTACCATAATATCAACTGATTTGATGAATTTTAGAAGAAATCTAATTATATACCTAATTCGTCAGACTTATAACACTTATCTATAAGTGACATTTTTGGAACTTAGAAACAGATGGCCTAGATCTCTAGATCTATATTTTGTCAATATTATTGTTGAAAATGTTGTCAAGTAAAGAATCCTTCTACACAAATTACTTTATTTAATGTTTTTACTGCAGATGCTGTGCAGATTAAATAAAAGATAAGTTATCATTTTCATTTAAATTTTCTGAATAATTCCTTTATATTTAGTTAAATGTAAATTAAATATAATTCATATTATACCTACTACTTTATTACTAAATGCCTCGGTCAAGAAAGAGTACCTTATGGTAGATTAAACCTACTCTAAATTACAATATATTGGTATATATACTTTAATAATTTGTAATGTGCTAGCTAATTACCATGTATTAAACATACGAATCGTTTTCTTTAGTTACTCTATCTATTGTTAAAATCTGCATTACAATCCGTTGCTTAGTATAAAATAACTAAGCGTACAGATATCAAAACCGACTTTATTTTATACTATGTAAAGAAAACAAAATATCCAAACAGTCTTTAAAATTTTATTGATAGAATGCTGTCTCTTGCACATACACATACTAGGTACTGATCATAAAAACTGTGGCCCGCGAAAGGCAAGTTGCAACCTAGAGCAGGCTAACCGCATCGTGACTCCCCCCGAGCCTCGGTCCGCTTTCCTCGACTCGAGCAGCCCAGAGGCGCGGCGCCATGCAAACCTGCGCCCGTCACTTTCCGGAAAACCTTCACGTAACTATTTTGTTACATCGTGCCACTAGATCACACCTTTACAGGAACCTGTTCTTATAACCCAATAAATCTATAAGTATAATACTTACTGTATTTACACTTTACCTGGTATTAATTTAATTAAATTCCCTCTTAACTTTATATATTCGTCTGTATAAGTACTACTTGTAAGTATCTATATTTATGGATATTACTTTAATTGTCCTATTAATAGTAAAGTCTATAAAGATATAAATATTGATAGGAATATTGCATAATTTTAATAGCGCCTTATATTTGCGTTCAATTTCTGAAATTTATTCGTAGGGATACTATAGTATTATGTCTGGCAATATGTAGTGATTTATAGAGATTTCGTATATTAAAACTTTAGGCTTTTTCGTAATATTAAAACATATATATAATAACAAAATGTGTAATACTCAAATACAAATATTATTATTTCATACCTGTATAAATATTTGTGATTACTATCGAAGTTTGTAACGTGGATTATTATTCTGTAGATTAAAGATTTGTTCGTATATGTAGGGTTATGTCAAGTAGGTTATTCTGGTTAAAAGTAATTAGGAGGTAGATAAATATATGAACAAAAATGTAGAGTATACAATATTCACCGATAAGTATGTGTGTAAAATGACCTACTTGTGTCTAATTTAGATTTTATGATTTCGTTGCAAAAACATGCTTCTAACGATCACTTGCCTATATTCATCGCGACCGCATATCTTACTATGCAAAAAGTAGGTGTGCCGAATGTCAAACATTCACCGTATTGTAATTTGTAGGTAATCTAGTCCTTATAATAAATAACATGCATCACATCATCTATGTATGAAATGTATGTATGAAAAATGTAACACGCGTAAACGTCGGCTAAGTCTATACGATATGAAAAAAATATGTTCGTCTTTTCGGAGATATTTATAAAATCTAATATCGGTATACTAATAAAAGCCAAAACCACAGTTTAATATTTGTTTGTCTTTCAGTCAGTACTGAAATTTAATATAATTTTTATCATTGATGCACTAACTCAAAATATCCATGGCTCTATTATATTATTATATTATATGTAGTAAGAAAATCGTTATCCATTTTGTACTTTTTGACATTATTTCTCTCTTAAGTTTTATGAATTTATGCATTTTGGTAAATTTTAACATTTGTTTAAAAGAGCAACAGCCAAGTTATTGCCCATATTTTTGTATTTTGAATGGGCGGTAATAAAAAACTGAATTATCTTAAAAATCCTAACTTTGACATTAACATTTGAAATCAAATCAAAAATCAATTATTCATACAAGGACCATGGATGGTAGGATTCATGTTTTAGTCGCTTATGAAAGTATTTTTTTTGTATTAATATTTTTCCCTACTGTCTAGTTAAGTATACAGATTCAAATGAGAGGAACTGGCAAGAAACTCAAATGAATTGATTTCTATAAATATCAGTTTAATTATGTAAAACACATTTGACATATAAAGACATTTAGACCCACTAATTATTAAATTATGTCTAAAAATTTAAATTTGTAAAATGATAAAGATTATTTTGTAATCGATAAAAAATAAAATTCAATAAATGAATTCCTTAAAACATTATTTTTTAAGACGTGCCGAAATATCACTTTTATATGGGAACATATTAACTTTCAATAAGTTATTTTTGTCATTAACCAAACGGAAATCGAAAAAAACGAACATAAAATAATATTCTCTCGTACATAAAGAAGACGGTGCTACATAATAAAAAACTGGTTTTGCTCAAAACTGGCTTCCCACGTAGAAAATGAATTGTATTTAGACATTGATTATACAGAAATAAAAGACTAGTTTTGAGAAATACGAGTAACTTTAATGTCAGTCTAGTTTTTATA